TTTAATTGCTTTACTCAAAATTGACTTTAGGGGGAAGGAAGCTGACAGCAGCCGGCCTCCCAGCGACTGAATGACAAGCAGATTCAGATTCAGACAATGAATGGAAAATAGGAAACCTGGACGAAAGAAGCAGATACTGAGAAGGATAGATGTAAAGGAAGGCGGATGGGGCTTCGGTACCTTGCTCATCAGGTAGGGGCTGAAGGAGCGTGAGTGACGGGTCAGCAGCAGCAGCACGCTGGCCAGCAGCACCGCCTCCAGGATAAAGAGCAGGTCGTTGACAATAACTCGGACCAAGACCAGCTTCCAAGTCCGCTTCCCCTTCTCTCCGCTGCTGCCACGCTCTCCCAGAGCGGCGGATGTCACGTTGATGGAGAGGAAGATGAAGCTTAAGGCCCCGTAAGCAAAGCGGGCCACCCATCTGTAAAACAAAGGGATTAACCCAGCTGCAGCGACTCATTTAAATGTGTCTGAAAGGGGAAGGCTTACAGTTTGCTGTCGCTGGCTGAGCTGTAATTATCCCTGATCTTCAGCAGAACCTGAGCAACAACAGAAACATCAAAGATGAAGCAGAAAACTGGAAGCAAAAGTAAGTACTTCATCTCCTGTCGGTTCTAACAGATCCTCCCCGCCTCACCTGAGTGAAGTAAAGGTTGATGAGGCTGAAGGTGAAGAACTGCAGGCAGACAGGGAAGCAGTAGAGCAGCCAGAAGGCTGCAGCAGGGAGGTGATTGGCTTCCTCCGTGTTACGGAAGTAAAAGGAGAAGAGCGTGGTGCGCAGGCCCGCCCAGAGCAGGCAGAGGAACAGAAAGACGCTCTGGTAGCTCCATCTCTTGTGTTTGTAGATGAAAAGCAGCCATAGCTGCGTGTAGACCACCAGGAAAAGGCCCCCGTATAAGGTGGTGTAAAGGATGGTGAAACCCAGCTGGACGGACGGAGCCACGGCCGGTCGGAGGGTGGTCGGAGAGGAGCTGGGAGTAGGAGGAGCGGTGACTGGAGCCTCCATTAGAGCAGCGGGAGGGGATCACTGACCAGCAGCCATGGTCGCACAGAACCTCTGGACGGTTTGCAGAGATCTGTGGGGGGGGCAGCGTACATAGAGGGTCAGCAGAGACACAGAGAAGGGGAAACCGCTGGAAGGAAGTCTGAGCTTTTTAAACATATTTCCTTTGGCAGAATGGGTGCAGCTATTTGTCAGAATAACATTTTCAATGTGTCTAGACTTCACATGGTCCAGTTCAGTGGGAGCTGGTTAAAGCTCATCAAACACTAACGGTTAAAGCGTAATGAATCACTTAAATTTTACCTTCTCAAAGAAAAAACCTTTAAAGTGTGGCATATGTTTATACTGGACCTGGTTTACGGTCCAATTATAGCTGGAGGTGAAAGTTTGACCCCTTCTTCTTAGCAATAGATCTAATAATAATCATCAGGATTCCCAAACCTTGGATAAAGTCAACTTCAACAACTTTCCAGGATGGATTTCCCTAAATTCATTCATTTACCTCCTCTTACCACTAAATATGTCCTCTAGAAGGGATTTTACTTCAATGCATTATTTAATAAGAACATTTATACTAAAACTTTCATATCTGCAATACATGAATATTAGTGATGGTGAGGCTCAGCTTTGTTTGGGCCTTTAAGCTCTTTAGCAGTGTTGTTGTTAAGACCGCATAACCGGAGTCCAAGACAAGAGCAAGTAAAGATGCCAACCAGAAACACGATCAAAGGTTCCTCTTAAATGAACTCAAAGAAAATCCACATTACCACAGAGACTACAAGATAAATGTAATTTTCTCTATTTAATACTCATTAATAAACTCTTTACTTCACCTTTATAATTAAATTAGCTGCGACATATGAATCAAGAATTTATGACCGACACAATTAAACAGAACCAGTTATATCTGATATAATATATCTGGTGGAGATGTTTTTATAAGTTTTTTTTTTTTAATAAAGCATTTTAAATGCCAAGATAATCACATTTATTTAATTTTAATGCCAATTAAGGCCTTCATTTAAAAAAATAACAATTTCATGACTTTTAATGATCTTTAATGACCCGCGGAAACCCTGCAAGAAATTCAAATATATTAAGCGGCATGAAGTCAAATTTATATGCAATTAGACTTATAATTCTATGTCTTAATAGGTAAATATACATTCATAATTTAGGAATTTTACATATTTTCGACTTAATTTAAGTTAGAATTACAGTTTTCTATAAAATCTGAATTAGAGCTCAAGAAAAACTGATAAATTCTGCTGTAAAAATTAGAGTATAATTTTTTGTTTTTTACATTTGTTTTAAAAAAAACATTTAGCAGATGAAAACTGGGATCCTATCTCAATTTCACTGAAGCTATCACCTTAGTTTTTAAATAATTACCTAAACAGAATTTGTAAATAAATAAATAAATGAAATGGATCCAGAGGACCTATCAGGAACCATGTCTGTTCCAGCACATATCATCATTAGAATTTATTTTTGTATTATGTCTTCAGTACAGCGGCCATGACAGGGGCCAGGACATGATCTACAGGGGCACTGGCCCCCGTTGGCCCCTGTCTAGAACAGCTCATGATCCCCCACTTGTCTGTTTGTAGCTGAAATGGGACAAAAGGTGTAAAACTGAACTCTTTTGCAAGGCAGGTTATCAACTGACCAATATGCCGAATCTAGTTGGAATTTGACCTGAAAGGAAACGAAAAGCAGAGTCATGCAGCTAAAACAAATCAGTTGCCCTCTGCTTTTAACAGCTAGGATGGAAAAAAAGGGGACAAAACAACCTTGTTGAAATATTAGCCTCCTGTACACAACCTAGATCAGATAGTATATGAGGCCCAGAAGGGCAACTATAGGGCTGTCTGATAAAAACAACACCATGAGGAACAGTCTGGGTTTGGGATGAGCGGAAAACAACAACACACCATAGATGATTGAAGAAGAAGCAAAAACAACATGAAGCTGGATGAGCTTGTTATTGGAAAAAAAAACAGTTTGAAAACATTGTGACACAGATGGAATGAAGAGCATGCAGAAGCAAGTCAGCCACTTTACAACTGATCTGAAATCATATTTGTTCCCTTGTTTACACTCTGCCTGCTTCCCATTCGCATTTAAATGTTACAACTTTACAGAGTGCTATAAAATATGAAAAACCTGTTTGACATAAACAAACCATTTCCTCAATCACTGATGAGGATCAAAGCAGAAAAAGATTAATGCATCACAGTAAATACAGTCATTTTCCAGCAGGTGTAATTCTCCTGCCATAAAATGACATTTTCTAAATAACATTTGAGCTAATGAACATTATAATCTTTAGGTTCACTGTGTGACTAAATAAAGTCACTGTTTACTCGCACTAATCGGACAATAATATCAATGTAGCCAAAGAAAGGATAATGTTTCTTTCAGTTTCAACAAACCGGATTATATAACAGTTTTTATGTTTCTGTTTGGCTGTATTATAGCTCCATTTATAACATTTATAAAAAGCCAGACTCCTATCAGTGTATTACTTTGAGCCTCGAGAACCATGTGATCCTATAGGACAGACTTTACTCTGGTCTTTGGAACATAAACAACCGATTGTTCGTCCAACCTAACAAAGCTCGGCAGGATTTTATTAAACAAGCTGCTAATACAAACTTTACGTCTTCTTACTTCCGGATATCTATTGTGCATCGCTAAGGATCGTAAAATAAGACGGATTTCACCTGTTGGTTCTCATTTAACGACAATTACAGACCTGTTTTTCCCCCTCAGGTGAACATGGAGCTGAAGGATGAGCTGCTGTCGACGGTAATCTCTTGTTTCCGTGTGTAACGTCTGAGGGGGCGGAGCCTTGGTGATACAGTAGAGGTGTGGCCGCCATATTGTGAGTGGCACACACATTAACAAAAAATAAAGATAAACTTTCCTAGACGGGGGCGCAAATAAACGGAAGAGGATCAGCGCTACTAAAAAAAAAAAAAAAAATTTACTGATTTTTAAATATTATTTCAGTTCAATATGAGAGAAAGTCAGAATTCTGTTTTTTTTTTCTTCCAAAATTCTGATTTTTTTCAGAATTCTGACTTTAATCTTAGAATTCTGACTTTAACCTTAAAAGTCTGACTTTAATTTCAGAATTCTAACTTTAATCTCAGAATTCGGACTTTAATCTCAGAATTTTGGGGTTTTTTTCTTCAGAATTCTGACTTTAATTTTAGAATTCTGACTTTAATCTCAGAATTCTGACTTTAATCTCAGAATTCTGACTTTAATTTTAGAATTCTGACTTTAATCTTAAAATTCTGACTTTAATCTTAAAATTCTGACTTTAATCTCAGAATTCTGACTTTAATCTCAGAATACGGACTTTGCCCCTTAGGAAGGGGGAGACGTTGAGATCTTGGTTAGCCTGCAATACCTGATACTGGTCTATGCCTCTGAAAGGGGAGTCGTAAGGGGTATTGTTGGCCTGGCTGACCAGGTGAGATGTTTTGGTCCCCTGCATGGGGGTGGGAGTTGAGATGATAGCAGGAAGAAACCAACTCTATCGGTGCATTGTGGGTTGTGGAAAGCTGAAACTTGAGTCCACCCGCTCTGTTTAAGGTTGTTTTTTTCTTTCTTAACTTAAATGGCTTTCTTTACACCCCTTTTAAACATCTGTCTTCTATGTCCAAAATGTGAACAAGTTGTCTTATCTTTCTCATTGAGAAGCAGCCAATCCAATGTCAGGGTTTCTATGGAGGCGTCCACCTTGTCCTGCCTCTCTGACTTTGATGGATGAGGGACAGTATAAATAAATTCATGGTATGCTTTAGCACAGGAACATTAAATAATTTATCAAATCGTGAATCAATTATATTCCATTTTTAAAATAAAATGAATGTTTTTAAATGAGGCACATGTAATTGTTATTCATTTAAGTCTGCCTCCGTTTAAATCATTATTTTCTCAGTTATTTATTCATTGTATGACGGAGTATTAGGGCCAGGCTAGAGATTTTTTTTTTCTTCTATTACGAGAATAAAGTCGTAATATTAAGAGAATAAAGTCCTAAAATTACAAGAAACAAGTTGTATTTTATGACAACTCTCACAAGAAGCTCACTAAAATGAGGAGTGTCAAGCATTATGTGAAGTTATACTTTGGTTCTGGTTATACAAATAATGAAATCTTTTAGCATCAGCATCAAATTGGGCAGCATGTCAAAGTGGATTCAGGTTGCTGATTGGTGGAGCTGGTCGGCCGTCATCTGCTGGTCGGTGCTCCAAGCTTTCTTTCTGAAACAGGTTGTTGTATGATGACTTTATTCTCGTAATATTATGACTTTATTCTTGTAATGTTATGACTTTATTCTCAATATAAAAAAAAAAATTTTATCTCTAGCCTGGCCCTAATTCTCCGTCATATTTATTGCAATTTTGCTCTCATCACCCTCTATAAAACCATTCTTTTAGAGCAGGGGTCTTCTATGTTTTCCAGGCCAACGACCCCCAAACTGATGGCAAGATGGAGCAGGGACCCCCTAATTATATAAAACTGGTCCTATAGTCACTCTATTACAGATGGAGTAATGTAACGAAAGTAATTTCTCCCTGTGACTATTAAAGTATTTCTGATTCAGATTCCTGGTTGATGGGACAGGTGTTGTGAATGAAACGGTGTCCAGCTTGAAAGAGTTCCTGTGTGTCGCTGAATGTGTGTATTGATGACTGAAAGACATCTTCTGCCTTCATTTATCTGTTTATTACAGTGTGTTCAATTCATGTTAATGTGTATTTAAAGACATTTCAATTAGTGGAAAAAATTGCAGGGGGGAATATAAAGAAAAAGTCTAATCAACCAAAACTTTCGCGACCCCAATTCAGTACCTCTGTGGAGCCCCTAGGGGCCGTGCACCCCCTGTTGAAGTCCTCCATTTTACAGGATTGTCAACTCTCATCCATTGGGTGTGAGACACATGCATCTCAGTGTCTTCACTTAAGTACTTAAGTACACTTTTTAGGTATCTATACTTTACTCCATTACTTATTTTTCTTCCTACTTCTGACTTCTACTCATTACATTTTCACACAAGTATCTGTACTTTCTATTCCTTACATTTTTAGAAACAAACTTCACTCGTTACTCTTGGCTTTGGTTTAATGTTTATAAATATTTATTTCAGGTCATGTGCTCCATCCAATGCAGATCATTGGCTCCATCAACATCTAGTGAAAACTAGTGTAATTGGATGAGTCATAGAACGCAAACACTCATTGGTTAGCTAAAGGAAATCATCAGAAGCAAGCAGGTGTTCTTCAAACTGCAAACATGAATTGTCTATGCCATGCTACAATGGAGGATTCAGACAAAGATGTTGAAATGTCTGAAAGGTCGAACACAGGCGAGAGCGTATCTGGAGATGGAGACCAACAAGACCTCCCTCACCCTTTGCCCTATCTCAAAGAATTTTTAGAAATAGTCGAAAAATTCTTTCAATTCATATAGTGGTATCTGGCTGTTTTTTAAGGTTACTTTATACTTTTATACTTTAAGTAGTTTTTGGAGCACATACTTTTTCACTTTTTTTCCCCCCAAAATATTTTTATTAGATTTTAACACACTGAATGATAG